AAGACATTTCGTGAGCCACCAAGGCTCGAGGGCTCCCTAGCGCTGCCCCGCGAGCTTGACACTGTCAACCACTCCTCCGATAGGGTCACGCATGGGGCATGACGCAAGAAGACAAACTCCTCCATGGCCACGTCAGCCCCTCGACCCAGCCTCCTTCGCCACCAAGAAGTCTCCAAAAGACGCACCTAGGGGAGTTTGGTGCAAGCTGACACAGCCTAACACTCAGCGTGTTTGAACAGAGTGGCCGGACGATGCCCAAGACTTCTTTAGCTCCATGACATCACCACGGTCCATAGAACACCGCTGCAAGACCATTCTAGACTACGATCCATGTAGACCATAGGCTCAGCCCCCCAAACCGCCATGTACCCGACCTATCTCGGTTTATAAGGGATATGTCAGATACTAAGAGGGTGGTGGGATAATCCAAGACAGATCATTTGCATCCTCATCATTCTGCTCGAGCTCAGCACTGAGAGCAGAGCAACCTAGAGAGGGGCACCAAGAACTCCTCCACCGCATCCGCTGTCTTCCTCCTCTCTGACGAGGGGGAAGGCTCCACCGACGGCGAGGCAACCCTAGGATAAGCACCGAGTGATTCCCTACCAAATCTCTCTCTTTCTCCTTTACACTCTGTTGTAACCCCCTAATTTTGGGTGCTCTTGAGTATAAGGATCATCAGCTGCTGAACGCCGGGCATCTATTGGCCCGAACCAGGATAAACCGTTGCGTTCCCTCTGTGATTCTTGTGTTCTTGAATCCACCGGAGCCACCAGAGACATGCACTCTGAAACCACCTCGAACAACAATGCTTGCCAGGGTTCCAACCCCACGACAACCGCTAATTGCACTTGCTATAGGTTTAGGCCTAGTATTAGTGAGGTTTGCATACCTCTTTCTCATAAGGTGTTTGCGCGCACCATTTTTGTACTCATAGGGGCTTGTAGTCTTGCGAAACCACACCAACCGTGTTTGTAGTGTGGCCACCACCGTGTACCAAAGGGAATGATGCCCGTGGTGGTTCAAATTTTAAGCTCGATAGTGAAGACGGCAGGAGCAGTCCAAGAGAGGCATTCCAGAGACATAGTTGCATGTGGGGAAGGCTTAATGCTATCCACGGTTACTCTACCGGGAGCTTGGCCCTTGCAAGGGTCTCCAACGAGGACTAGCAGAAGCTTATAAACTTCTTGATACCTCGGTAAAATTACCGGAGTCGTCAACGGGAGTTTGGATCTCTATCTCAGTTAAGCTTCCGCATTTACTTTACTACCTTAGTTATATGCTTTACCTTTCCTAGCTTAGTAGATAGGCTAGTTTATAGGATTGGAGCATAGGTTACTTAACTCTTTTGCGGTAGAGATAGCAACACACCTAGCAAAACTGTAGTTGCAGATTTAGATAGTTACTTAATTGAATAGGTTTTGCTAAGGTTACAAAATAGAGGCCATAGTTAGAAAATAGAGTTTTAAGTTGTCTAATCACCCCCTCGCCCTCTTAGGCATCACGGTCCCTTTAATGCTCTATCATTAGGATGCAAATTTTACTAGCTTTGGTTACATGTTTAGTATGTGTGAGAGTTCTTTGACATGACTTACTACTTTTTTCTAGCTGGATATCTATGAGGACGTAATAGAAACTACAATCATGAAAGTCCAATGCAAATTAGTCCAAATTCAATCGTAACCATGACCAATGAAAGAAACACCAATTTAGGGGAATATGTCCTCGCAATAGTAGGGTCGGATGCTTTATCTATGTTAACATTCTAAGAACATCCTGATCAAATACAAGACGAGATCATATGGATCTGCATTGTTTTTTTAGAAAGGATGGAAAAAGCTTTGCCACGATTTCTATTAGACGAAGAAAGGAAAAAAAGGCAGTGCCAGCCTAGTTTTTTTAATGGAAACTGTGCACAAAAACCATACAACTGAGGAGAGTGTTCCACTCATCCTTACACGACTTTGGTACAACAACCGAACAACTATCACAACTCATGCTACTACTTGCTCCAACTTGGTTGAAACGACCCAACTAAAACAACTTAAACACGATGACCTGTCGGATGACACCAAACGACACAGCTTGGGGCACCACCATGGATAGATGAAAGGAGCAACTACGGAACTAGAATACCTCGCCATGCCTCCATGGAGGAAACATCGCTAAAAGCGCCGACAAGGTAGCCCGCCATGGGAATGTTTTTCACCTGCAACATCCAGTACGGTAGGAGGAGAGATAGGAAAGGACCCCTCTGAAAGGTCCTAAATGGCTAGAGGGGGGTGAATAGCCTATAATAATCTCTACAAAATACTACAACAATTTGATTAGTACAACAAATGGTGAATAAGCTTTTTGCTCTAGCTCTACTTAAAAAGGCAAGCACCTACCAACAATTCTAGTAGTTTATGATCTCTAGGCACACAAGAGCTATTCTCTAGTTCTACACTAGTGAGATGGCTAATTAGAACAACTAATTACTTCTAGTTACTTAACTAGGCTGCACTAGCTAAGCTAGAGCTACCACTACATAAGTAAATAAGAAAGTAAATATAAAAGAGTGGTAGTGAGGTTATTCCAAATGTGGGTGGCAAGTGACAATCAATCAATACTAAGACAATTCCAAGGAGACAATTGACACACAATTTTTCTCCCGAGGTTCACTTGCTTGCCAGCACGCTAGTCCCCGTTGTGTCGACCGTTCACTTGGTGGTTCGTGAGCTAATAGGCATCACAAGCCTAGCCTTACACAAAGGCATCGTAAGAACCTTTCCAAATGATGGTACTCACTGACACGAGCAATTTACTAGAGTAGCTTTTGGTGCTCCATTTGGGAATAAGCCTAAGAACCCGTCACAATATCACCGGGAGTGGCCACAAAAAATCACCAACTCGTGCCAAAGCTCCTCTGCTGCTCCAAGCCATCTAGGTGGTGGCAACCACCAAGAGTAACAACCAATCCTGCAGCTCACACGATCTATAGTGCCACTAGATGCTCAAACTCTAAGCAAATGTACTAAGATCACTCCCAATCTCACTTGGAATATGAATCAATGAAGGAAATGAGTGGGAGGTGTTTGATCATCTCATTCATCTGAGATCAAGCGATGCAAGACTTGTGATGATTACAAGTGGCTTGGTGGAGGTTGGTGCTTGTGTGGCATCAACATTGGAGAGATGGAATGGAATACGCAAGGTAAAGGTATATTTGTAGGGTATTTTATTTCATTGGTCTAAGTTGAGTAGAGAAGTGCTTGACCGGGTTTAGGATAGATAGCCATACTATAAAAAGAGGAACTCTTTTAGTTACAACGGTTATCTAGTACCACTAAGTGTGAGTCTCATTTGCATATGCATTGCGCTTAGTGACGTGGTGAGGTGCAAGAGAAATGCCTTTCGAAATGTTTGAAAAATGCTAACTCACACACTTGACTTGTTGGAACACTTGGTGGAGTTGAGCATATTTGAAAAGGCTTTGAATATGAATTTTTTTGGGATGGATAGCCCTCCTGGATAAGCTTTACGGAATGTCCCCGCACCCCCGACTCTCCGAACAACCAAAACACGTGCAACATGAAACACTTAAATATAACATATGTCTACCACAAATAAAACATCTAGAACATACACTTGCAACATATGCGTGAAAACATATACAACATCCAAATAGAACACTTGCAACATGAAACATTCAAACACTTGTCACAATGAACACTAAAGCAGATGAAACATTTTTGAACATATTGTTGCAACATATGTGTAAAAACATATGCAACATTCAGATCAAAATGATTGCAATATATGTCTAGAAACAGATGGCATATTTTGAACAAACACTTGCAACATGCCTCTAAAACACTTGCAACATCCCCAATCTACTTTTGCAATATCCATATGAAACAATTGCAACATACATCTGAAATGTCTCAAACACTTGAAACATACATATGCAACATAAGGAGGGAAGGTCGGGCCGGTCGACTTGATCGTCGGGTTGAAGAAGAGTGGCGAAGCGGCTGCGCACAGAGCACCACCGCCACCAAAGACCACACCACATCGGGTGGGGAGAGATGCATACTCCCATACAACACCGTTGCACCACCTCGATGGATCTCGTCGGGTGGGGGAGAGGGCCACCAGATCTGCAGCATTGGGGGCCCCGGTGGGTGAGGACGGCGGGATGGGGGAGGCGCGCCCGGGTGGGGAGGAGGACGCCGGGTTGGGGAGGCGCACACCAGGGTGGCAAGCAAGCGAGAGAGAGAGAGAGAGAGAGCGAAGCGTGGAAGCACGAGAGAGGAGCTCGTTAGGCGGGATTTACGCGTCTTGAGCAAGGCGAGGTGGCCAGGAGTTGAATTTGTTTATTTATTTATTAAGCGATCGTGTCACGGCAATGAGGTAAAGTTACAGTGCACATCACGCCACACGTAGAGAGGGGAGTCATTGGCGTCGGACGCCCTGTTTGTAGCATTATTAGGTATAGATATAGATATAAGTCACAAAATTATTGTGTATAAAGTGAAGGAAGTCGAAATGGGCTAGCTGGAAACGAGTAGTAAGGACCAGCTATCTTCAATTTTCTGCAAACATGAGTCGTGCACGTCATTGCTAGGTAAATGAATTGGGACAAAAGATTTCAGACATGTGCACGTCGCTGCGTGGAGTCCGGGACTGCTATATGGCCACGTGGGCTGATTTTGACTCTTGTCTTGGGCTTCCGAGCTCCTGGATTATATTGCGCAGCCCATGTAGGACTACATATTTTTGCTAGTACATACTGTTCGGTCGTGCATTTCCCTCTGTGTGTTTTCCGAGTCACGGAGCCCAAGACGAGGACAACCACCCGGGCCCACGCGAGGCTTTATTATATTACCATCCCCCGACTCTACCAAATCGAATGGGATCAGCAGAGAGCAGCAATAAACCGAACCCTAGCGCCGTCGCTGAATCATCCGGCGGTGGTGGGTGGAAGTGGAAGAGGAACGCCGGCAAACATCGACGACATGTATGCTTACACTGCATCCGTATCAGCAGCACAGCCAGCAGCACCACCTGGTGGTGACAATGGCAGCAGCAGCAACTCTTCGCGACCGACACCGCCACCGCCATGGCCAAAGCTAGTGTTGGATTCAGGTGCCAGTATCCACGTGGTGGGTGACGCCAGCCTCCTCTCCAACCTCCGCGACGCGCCGGCGGGGATGAGGATCCAGGTAGCGAACGGCAACACGTTGCCCGTCACCAAGATCGGCGACATACAGATGGCAGCCGCAGGCTTCACAATCCCAGGTGTTTACCTTGCGCCAGGGCTCACATCAAACCTCATCAGCGTCCGTGAGCTCACGAGGCAGAGCAGGATCTGCACGTGGTTCGATGGAGACCGGGCGACGCTGTACGCGGGGCCCGAGCTGGTCGGCGAAGCAGTCGCTCCACAGGAGAATTCGTCCGGTCTCTACGTGCTGCAGTTCTTGAGCGTGCCAAAAGAAGCTGCTGCTAATGCATCATCTGGTAATGGCTTGGATGGAGAAATCAGATTAGTGCCTGTTTGGTGCGGCTCCTCCTCACGCGGGAGCTTCGGCGCCACGCTTTGCTGGCTAAAAGCACTCCTCCGCGAAGCCGATGCGGGAGCCGCATGTTCGCAATAGAATTCGGAGAGAACGAAAGAGGGAAAAGGGGAAGAACATAGGGAGAAAGAGATAGCTGTCGGAGGACAAATCAGTATTCGAAATTCTGTTACATCACATTTACAATAATCGATTCTTTTACATCATATTTTCCAAATATGCTAAGTGTGGTTTTATTTCAGAGTAGAATAGTGGAATCAAAATTCAATTTAGATGATCTCGGTTTGGAAATTGTAGCCATTTATGCTTCAAATTTTAGAACCATATCATGGTCTCCATGTTACCACTTGTTTCTAGTGTAGTCTGTGATGCAAACATCATGGCCGCGCGTCATCCGCAAAGTTCAATTTCATCAAGCACACTATAGCTCATTATTTTTAAAGTGGTTAACACACAAATACGTTTGCTGTACATGTAGATGCCAAGAGAACAAGGTTTTAAATCTCCTGCTAAAGGTATTTAGCGGATGACCTCTTAAAAAAGCTATAACGGAGGGTAAATGGAGCTATAGCGGGTTATAGCCGCTAAGTTGTACATAAACACAAATAACTTGATCTGCCTTAAATAGCTATAACTGGAGATTTAAAACCTTACCAGAGATAAGAGGGATAAATACATACATGTACGATAGGACAATACTGTAGGAAATAATTCACATCTATATACTTTTTTTTAGAACACACATCTATATACTGTGACAAGAGAGTAGCACATGCATGAAAGGCTGCACCCCTGTTATATCGTGACAAGGAAGATGTATGTATTGACCATATCATGTTGGCGTGCTATCTTCACAGGCTTTGTCGTGTGGGCCGGGATATCGAGGAACTCGAGGTGGTACGGGCCATCGTCGGCGTGCAACCGACCTTTCCCGACGATTTTACCGCAGCTCTGCTCCATGACAGAGCACTGGCCGCCGCCGAACATGACGAGGTAGCCGCATTCAGCAATCTGCTGCACGGAGACCAGGTTTATGTCGGTAGAGGTCTGGGACACACCGCGCGTTGGGGACACGGAAGTTGTCGCAAGATACGGTGCCGACGCCGGCGACGGAGAGGACCCTCCCGTCGTGCGCCTGGTAAGCGGCGGCGGGGCTACCTGCTGGAGTAGTGGGCATTCTGGACCTGAACGACGGCGAGAATAATGACACGTCGCCGACTACGTGGGAGGTTGCCCTCGAATCCAAGATGAAGACGCTGCATGGCCGCCTTAGCGGGGGTGGGCAGCAGGTGCGACGGGCGGGGGGCCATGCCACGAGGGGCCCCATGAGTATATGTATGTAGTACTTAGTATATGTATTTGGATCATTATAATGAAAATTTAAAGGTTCATACACTTAGCCCAAGTAATTAGGAATTGGATTGCCATCGCTTTCTATTGTGATATTTGGCTATTCGTCTATTCCTCATCGCTTCCGACCTATGCTGCAAGTTAACTCTTATTTGTAGTATTATACACTTTAATCGTCATATTAGGGGCTTATTTGGCATAGCTGCTCTTCAAGTGCTCCTTCCGAGAAGTCGGAACACTCGAGCAGGAAGAATCACAGATTGCAGCTCGTCCTCCAATCCTAAAAATGGCTCCGGCTCTTCTTCTATTCACCAGAAAATGGATGCGCTCCTCCTAAAGTGTTTGGTACGACTCTTTGGGCTCCTCCGCATGAGCTGCTACCGGAGCCAAAATCATGCCAAATTGGTCCTAAAAGATTAGATTGCTAGGCCCTTGCCATTGGCTTGCCCAGGGGCCTTTAAAATTGTTGAGACGGCCCTGAGACGCTGGTACGTCGAGGACGCACGGCCGGCGACCTGAGGCCCGGCGTGTTCATCTTCAAGATGCACTTATGGCTGTGCTTGGATCGCTCGTCTCGGCTGGGGCTGTCTTGTTTGCCATCTTTGGCAATATCGTGCTCTGATCCCGTATAACAGGTTTTCGCCACTCGCAGAAGCCTTCGATTTGGGTGCTTCCGTCTGCCGAAAATAATTTGGTTGTTCAGCTATCATCGATCGATGCGCATGGTGCAGAACATGCTCAGCAATCAGCATGCATGAGGGTAATAAACGCTGGTCATATGAGGAGATACTGAGACACAGGATTATTAAGGGCGCCCTTTTTGCGTGCGTACCTGGTACAGAGGAAGTTGTCGTCTGGTGCCTCAGCACCGGTCACCGATAAGATCCTTTTTTTTTTCTATCGTGCCGTGGCACGTTTTTCATTAAGTAGGAGTAGAAAGTTTGTTACAAACCTAATCAGATATGGTAATCCCACGATTACCGAATCCGAGGCTACCAAGCTCGCATGAGGATGTGATTAGAAACTAATACAAATATGCGACTGAACGGCCGACAAAAACTACTAATCAAAGCAGCGTCTGCAGCGACGATAGGTGCCTGTAACCTGCCAAAACCCAGACGTTGAGTTCGTCGTCGATGTTCTGGACTAGCTGTGTCGCCGTTGTTGCGATCCTGTTGAAAGTCCTTGCGTTACGCTCCTTCCAAAGCATCCAGCCGATAAGGAAAAATAGGGAGTCGAAACCACGGCGCATAGGCTTCGGGATTAGCTTCCGGTTGCGCAGCCACCATTGCATCGCCTCTTCTTCGTGAACACGCACGAGGTCATCCAGATGTAGACGGCGTAACCACAGAGCCCATACTTCCCTGCTGAAGACGCACCCGAGAAGAATATGGTCCATAGTTTCCACTCCTTGATGACAAATGTGTTAGTTGATCTCCACTAATAGGCCCAACGACCTATTGGGCCCTTATCTCGGCTCCCTGATCGGGGGAGCCCAACCCTAATCCGGTTGGTGGGCCCCTGTCGCACAGCACACATAAAAGGAAGGTGGGGATCGAGCTCAAAGAACGAGGTTCGCCGGAGCCGCCACACCCACTTACAGAAACCCGAATACCGATCTAAAGGCCGTGCTGCCAGCGACGGGATGTGCCCCACCATTGCCGTCTCCCACTGCAGGTCACCGCCGTCGCCCCACTGTATCGTCACCACGCCTCCTCATCAGGACGCCGAGCACTGGCGTCCGCGAGGCTGCATCTAGGGCGGCATCGGCGTCCACGCTGCCGCTGCGGTGAAGCTCCGAAAGGTTGAGGAGCCTAACTACGGATCTACGGGTTACACACAGAAAGGTACTCATCCATCGATCCTAACAATGGTATCGGAGCAAGGTTACCTATGTGTATCCCTAACCCTAACCGGGTAAAAGCAAAGAAAAGAGACCGGGGGTGGTGGATTTCACTGGAACCCGGTCACCACCGCTACCGCGCGGGAAAAGTGCCGCACTGACACGGCAAGAAAGACCAGATCCGTGTTCGGATCAGTGAAGATGAACAAAGAAGGGGAAGGGAAGAAATTCGGAAAGAAAAGCAATTGGTTCAACCGAAAGGGAAAAAGAACGGTTTCGGATTAACCCTAATCCGAAAAGAAAAGAAAAATCCAAAGAAGAGAAAAAGAAGGGTCGGAACCCTAACCCTAACCCTATTTTCCCATTCGGATGAACTCGAAAAGAAAAGGAAGAAGAACAGGGGCTGGAATCGAACCCTAACCCTAGATCCCGATTCGATTCGGATGAACTCCAAAGGGAAAAACCGAATCAGTTGAATCAAAAGAAAGAAAAGAAATAAAAGAAAACAGAATTTAACCCTAGATACATTCGGATGTCAAAGAAAAGAAAGGAAAAACAGAAAAGAAAGGGGAAAAGAACAGGGTCGGCGTACGAACCCTAAACCTAACCCTAGAACGGATCCACCCTCGCCGGCGCGGGAAAAGAAGAGCCGCGACGGCCTTTCGCCGGCGCGGGAGAAGAAAGGCCGCCGAACCGGTGCTGCTGCTCGCCGGGCTCGGCAAAGGGGTCACCGCGGCCAGGCCGCTCGACGGCGGCGCGCTCACCCGCTGGGGAGCGCGCACGCAGGCGAGGGGGCCGGCGGCGGTGCCATGGATGCCCGCCTCGCTCCACCACTCGCTCTCGTCTGGCTCGGTTCCGATGCGGCTGAGAAGAGAGAGCAAGGGAGAGAGAGGAGAGAGCGGCGCTGAGAGAGAGCGAAGAGAGAGAAGGGCAAGTGCCGAATGAGACTAGGGTTTTGGCGACCGCGGCCGGAATTGGGTTTTATTAGGCCGAAACAATCGGACGGCCGTCGGATCAGATCCAACGGCGCCGGATGCATGGGCCCGCGAGCGGCCCAGGCGGGGGGAGCGCGCCGCGGCACTTTGCTGGCCCAGGCCCAGGTTGCGGCCTGGGTGCGGCATGCGCGCGCGGAGAGAGGCGGGCCGAGCTGGCTTCTGCGGTTTTTGGGCTGCCGAGAGTAAAGAGTGAGCCCAGTTTCGTTTTTTCTTTTCCTAGAAAATTGAAAAATGCAAATTGGCTCAAAAGAAAAATAGAAAAAGTATTTTTTACCTGTGGGTAAAATTCAAGAAATTGATGTAAAGTTTTCTGCTGATAAAGAAAAAGTATATTCTCCAGTTAATTTGTACCAATGTGGTATTTAACTGGAGAAAAGAAAAGATTTTCCAGAAAATGTTTATTTCCTGGAAATTGATTAATGGATTAAAGAAAATAGAAAAAGAAATTTTCCCTGTGGGTAAAATTAAAGGAAAAGAGAGTTTTTCCACAGTCAAAGAAATTGTTTAAATCTCCAGTTAATTTGTACCAACGTGGTATTTAATTGGAGAAAAAGAAAGTTATTCCGCTGCTAAAGAAATTGTTGATTCTCCAGTTATTTTGAACCAATGTGGTATTTAATTGGAGAAAAAGAGTTTTGATATGATTATGATGTTGTTATTTACTGACCAACGTTGTTAATAACAATATCGTAATGTTAATGTTTTATGCATTAATTCTACTTCTGCCCAACGGTGATGTAGAATTAGTGTATAAGAAAAGTTGTTAATTTTAATGAATTAAGCATTAATTCTACTTCTGCCCAACGGTGATGTAGAATTAGTGTGTAAGAACAGTTGTGAAAGTTAAAGACTTATGCATTAATTCTATTTCTGCCCAACGGTGATGTAGAATT